AGTTACTGGATAATAAAGGTAGTCATTGTGTGAATGAGGATGCTAGAAATACATATCTCCTACAGAACTACAGTAATCAAATCAGTATAGCAAGCTCATAAAATTATATATAAATCAATGGGAGAGAATAGAAAAATGAAAAATACAGACTGGTAGCCTACTGATTTTTGACACAGGGGCAAATAGCATATGCCAGAGAAATGACAAAGTCAACAACCGGTGGGTACCAGGGAAACTGGATAGCCCTAATAGAAGAATGAAGCTAGACCTTAGTCTTTCACCCTGTATAAAATAAACTCAAAATGGATCAGAGACCTAAGTGTGAGGTTTGAAACTCTGAGTCTAGAAGAAGCTCTTCTTAAACTAGAAGAAAACACAAGGATAACTTCAGGTGTCAGAGTGAGAGATGGCTTTTATATGACTCACCGACACTGGAAATAAGAGCAATAACTGCAAATAAGATTATGTGAAACTAAGAAGTTTCAGAACAACAAAGGAAGCAATCAACAGAGTGGAAAAGCAACCCACTCACTATCGGTAGGCTCTCCATCTGTGAGGGTTAATATTGACGTTCGACTTGATGAAATCTGGGATCAACCAAGAGACACATCTGTGGGCCGACCCATGCGGGCGTTTTTAGGAAGGCTTACCTGAGCTGAGGAAACAATCTGTGAATCTTAGCTACACATTCTGAACAAGCCAAAGATGGGCATGGAAAGTTGTCCTTTTATTCACCCGCAAATCTCTAGTTTTGGGTGAAAAAAAAAAAAAAGCAAGGAAAGAAACAAGAAGAAAAAAAATGCTGCCCCTGGGCATGAACTGCTGGTTCTTTCAGACCATGTCCTTACAAAGCGCTGTGGACACATTTCCTTTAATTTTTCTTTAATTCCCAATGCTGGTTGTGAAATGAAGTCTGGGTTTGTGAGGCCCAGAGCCTAGAAAGTTTAGTGCCCCCAGCATGAGGGACAGCCCTGTGAGGACACCTTTGAATGCATCCAGATATCAATTCGGTTAGGTCCAGGGACAAATGCCGCCTGAGGAGATGTGTGTATTTCATAAGTCTTCCCACAAGTGATATGGCGAGACAGTTAGAGGACGACGGGGAAGGGAAGAAGGACATTGTTCAGAGGTAAAAATGGATGGAGAACGGCGTGTGTGGATTAGGTATTTGGGGGTGGGGTCCGGGAGTCCTGGTGAAAGCCATAATTTCCTTCCAGGGTCCTCAAACCTCCCCACCCTACAGCCTTACTATTTAGACCATGGCCGTCCATATGGACAGTGGGAGGAGATAGATCTTTGTTCCCTGCAGGCACCATGCTTAACAAGACCCAGCCAAGGCCACCACTAGCCACTGAGGGAAGGAAGGAAGTTGACGGAGGACATAAGACCCTTGGGGCTTTGTAGCTGGGGTTCTTTGTTGTTGTAACAGCGCTAGCTGACCTGAAACTAGCTCTGTAGACCAGGCTGGGATGGAATTCACATACATCAGCCAGTCTCTGCCTCCTGAGTGCTGGGATTAAAGGTGTGCGCCACCACTGCCTGGTGTAAGTAGGGTTCTATGACAGTTGTCCTCTCTTTTACAGCTGTGTCCTGTAGCACCAGGGGAACTTAAAGGCTGCCTTCCACTGAATCTCATCTCTTCACTGCACCGTGCCAGGCTATTTGGTTTTTGCATGCTACCGTGAAGGGACACAAAGTGTCGACATTTGCCAACTATGTTTTGGTAAGACAACAGCCGTACCTGCCACTGCTTGCTTGACTAGCTCTCCCAATTGGCACCTAGCTACAGGCCAAAGGAGTAAGGAGACCCAGGGGAGAAGGGGGAGGGGTGGATTTGGCCTTTGCCCTCGAGGCTTGGAGAGGCTGACTGAGAAATGATGGATCACAATAGTGAGTGATCAACACGTGTACACAGAGAGAAGCCATTGGGGCAGCGAAGTCCAAACGCTGGTGTCTAACTCCAGGTCTGTGGAAGCTCTAGGCCAGAGAAGCATCTGCAGATTGCAAGGCCCAGCAGGACAAAGACTGGTTCCAGAACCACAGGATTTAAAAAGAAGTCCAAGAGTGAAGGAGAGAAGAGAGAGGCAGAGGGTGCTTGCAGATTATAAGGTGCCGACAATGGAACTGGCAGAGGTCAGAGGTCTGCCGTGTGGCTCCCAACTCAGGAACCACTGGAGAGAAGTCAGCCCTTGGTAGGACCTGAGGAACCACTTGGTGTCTGACAGCACAGCAGGGTTCCTGCCTTTCAGTGCCTGCCCACGGTGTAGATGCTTTACCTAAGCAGGAGCCTGTATCTTTCAGTGTGCATCTTTTTTTTTAATGTGTGCATACACGACTGTGAGTGCTTTCATATATGTGTGTACTCGCATGTGTGTGCACGTGCAGGAAGATGTCAGAATCTGGTGTCAGGTGTCTTCTTCAATTACTCTCCACGTTATATATCGGGGAGAAGTTACCCACTGAACCCAGAACTTGTTCTTTTTGACTAGTCTGGCTAGCCTGCTGACTTTGGGGATCCCTGGTCTCTGTTGTCTAGATGCTGGGGTTACTAGCAGTCCACCAGGCTCACTTGGCATTACGTGGGTGCTGGGGATCTGAACGCTGGCCCTCAGATTTCAGTGGCATGTGCTTCACAGTCCTCCCAGCCCTGTCGCCTGGACTGTTCAGAGACAGACCGTGGAATCATCACAGCTGCAGTGATACAGTCTGTGGGGAGGGAAGGGGTACGCTGTGGGGACTGGACGGCAGAGTCAAGCATGTGTAATAGCAGGGACAGGGCTGTGGGGGTTGATGAGCCGGTGAGGGTGACCTGCAGGGCAGAGAGCTCAGGACTGGAGTGGGGTGAAATGCCAGTTACAGCACTGCTTTGTGTTCAGGGAACACTGCAGTAGAGATTTCCAAAGCACAAAGAGAAAAAAAAAAAGACCAGATTTTTGCTTGTACAAGAGCGACAGAACCAGAGTGAGCCCCGATTTTACTCACTGTGTTCCTTTAGATAAGCAGAGGGAACATTTTACATTTAGATATCATTAAGGTTTGCCAACTACAAGCAAAATTTAAGCCTTTTTCTACTGCTATAAAAATAATACTTTATCTAACTACCAATTTGTCTCTTTGAATAAATCTGTCTATACAAGCAATTCGGTTAGCATCTCCTTTCAAAACAGAACCAGTGAGCCTTGGACGATGTACCGCGAGGAATTGGCGCTGCTGGAAGCCTCTGCCACCTGACTCCCTGAAAGATTCACAGTTGTTCATCTGTTTTGTTAATTGGCCACTTGATGACTCAGCCAGTGTTTAGCACCATTACTCAGTATCTAGGAGGCTGTCTTGTGGCCAGGCCAAGCTTTGGCTCTTATAGGATAGGGATTTGAGATTTGTGAATTGGATTCATACTGTACATCTTTGAGGAGACCTGAAGTACTGAACTTGTGCTAATGGTGCCACTGGCTGGCAGGGGCTGCAGAGGCTTCCTCAGGAGTGGCGGTGTCTTCGGAGGCTAATGCCTCCCCTCTCATTTTGATGAGAGAGCCATCTGGAGATAGAGAGGGCAATTACATAAAATGCAGAACCGCACAGAGCTCTGGATGCTGCCAGAGCTGTCTGTAGTATGTGTTTGCCTTTGGTGAATCCATCTCACCCTCACCGTTGAGGACTGGCACCCTCATCACAGACAAACTTCCTGTCAGCACCACATGCCACACACACCACATGCACCACAGCGGCTTGGGAATGCCACTGCCACATGGGACGAGGGATCTCATGCAAATGGCCGACCTATGAGCACAAGCATCTATGTGTTCAGGATATTTGTGTTGCTTGGCTAAGTCCCTGGCACCAGGGGATGGGTTGTCACACAGGAGTGGTGTTTCACCGGTCACCCCAAGGTCACCCACAACCACTTCCTGCCAATGACACTGTGGCTCTGTCCACACAAGTCAACGTGAGGAGTCAGCCCGATGTGCCTCAGTGAGGGAGTGGCCAGGGGAAGGGATGCACACAACACGAGATGCTGTTCGGCCACCAGGGAGAGAGAAGCCCCTGTCATTCACAACAGGGGCACACCTGAAACACATTCCACTTAGTGAAACAAACTAGACTCAGAAGGACAAATCCACACAGCCTCCCTTAAGAGTGGGGAGCATAGAAGCAGAGTGTAAAGGGTGGGTATCGGGGCTGGGTCGGGGGCTGGGAGTATTCATACAAGAGTGTTTGATTTCAGTTATATCAGAAGAGTTCATCCAAGAGATCTACTGTACAGCATGATGACTACAGCTGGCCTTGCAGTATATACTTAGGAATTACAAGACAATCAAGGAGAGCAGGGGAGCGAACATGATCAAAATATTATGCACATGTAGGAAAAGGTCACAAGACACACCATTATGTATAATTAATATATGCTAATATAAACTTTCAAAGTTACGGTGGGTTCAGCCAGACATGGTGGAACACACTTATAATCCCAACCAGACTGAGGCAGGAGGATTGCTGAGAGTTCAAAGGCTGACAAAAGTTTACATACTGCGTTAAAGGCCAGCCTGTGTTACAATGTGAGATTCATTCTGTAAAAACAACCAAAAAATTTAGCAGGGTAATTATTGGTTACAATAACTTCTAATTCCAAAGAACTAGGGGTAAAAAAAGCTGTACAGCTCCCATAAAAGTGACAGACACTGAGGACCACCAGGCTTGCAGCCCGTGTATCAGCAGCTGCACTGCACATATAAGGTGTGATCATGTTATGTCTCAGAAGAATTCTCAAAGGGACAATCACTTCTGCCTTCTGTCTCCGGGGTTCATGTGGACTTGGAGAGTTCTAGCTACAGCACAGAAGCATATAAACCAAGCACATTGGCTTGCTTTGGAATCCTAAGAGGCACACAGTCCTTTAGACCTCACTTGGCACACTACGCATCGATACAATACCCTTTTGTCAACTCCGAATGGCAGCAACGGCTAAAACCTTCTGCATAAAGACACAGTCACCTGAGCCTTACCTGGAGGTAGTGGCATGGCCGCAGGGAAGGCTTGATCTCTGGGTGGACCAGGGGCTTGTCCAAGTTCAGGGAGCTCTTGCGGTAGGCCTCCTTGGCCTGGCTCACCGTGAGGGTGGACCAAGAGCTACGTTTCATGTACCTGGTGTCCGGCGTCAGGGCCAAGCCTTCACAGGCTGAGCACTTAACGTCACTGTTGCTTTTGGAAGTCTTTAGAGAGAGGTCCCCAAAGGGGCTCTGCAACGCCTCAGGGTAGCAGTGAGAGATGTGGTCCATGTGGTGGCGGTTGGCCACACTGGGTGTCCGGTATGTGCTGTCACTGTCCAGGTTATCGTCCGAGCTCCACCAGCTGCTCATACCAGACTTGTGCTTGCTCTCTGGCTTTCGCTCCTTGCTTTTACTCCTTTTGCTGTGTTTGGAATGGTGGCTGTGGTGGTGGTCATCCACCCGACTGTCGCTCTTGGTCCCATTGATGTTGCTCTTGGATGATCCCTCCAAAGAATGAGACTTGGTAAAAAGTTTCTGGACAGAGTGAACCAGATGCCGGATTCTGCCTGGACTCTCATTTCTCTGTTCTGTGGCAGCTGAGGCCCTCTGGTACTGCAGCGTATGGAAACCATCCCGGTGCAGGGGTAGTTGTTTTTCAAACTGGTCCAAGAGGTTAGCGGGGATGCGATTTACCTTTGTGTTTGTGTGGGACATGGCGCAATCATCCCTCGTGTCGTAGTGTGAACTGTAGTGCATTCTGGGGAAGGTGCTACTGGACACATGGTCGCCCAACATCACAGGCATCATCATGCACTCTGAGTGGACGGAGCTCCTGGGCGAGCAACGGTGGTGGTCCATTGGGCAGCTCTCAGCCGGGCTGAGAAGATAAGGTTGCCGCACATCTGGCCCATGGTGCATGTGATCGTGGGGGTGCTCGCAGTCATCCGGGGGTGACAGGCCACAGGTATGACCCCCACATAGCTGAGGCTGGTTCCGGCTTCCAGTTAAACCTTTCATGTTCCTGGGTGCGGGTGAGTACCTCTCCTCATTGAAGTGCTGCGTTGGAGACCATGAGTACTGTTGGTCTGTCAACAAAACAGAAATTGGTTTTAGAGCACTGGGGTGTGACAGAGATACAGGAGTCATTTTCCTAGTAGCCAGCCCCTGAATTGAGTGAACAGTTACATATTTAGATTATGGCGGCTCCTCAGAATGTGGGAATGCTAAGAAGCAGAAACTTTGGTTTCCTACATGAGCATCCACAGAAATAGGTACCTAACAGGCAGATGCACCGAGGCCCTCAACAGGCAGACTATGAGATCTTACAAAAACCATGGGCTGAAAAGATATCTCAGTCAGTAAACTGCTGGCAAGTGTAAGAACCCATGTTCAAACCCAACACCCACATCAAAAGTGGAGCACAGTGCCATGTGCTTGTAACCCCAACTTTGGGAAGGTAGAGCCAAGCAGTTCCATTGAGGGACACTTCTCAAAAAATGGTGGAAGGAGCCACACCTAATACTGTCACTGTCATTTGGCAACTACATACATGTACATACATGTGTACATTTCCTCATATACGTGTGTACTCATATCCACTCATCCATAAGCACCCATACAACACCTCTCTCTCTCTCTCTCTCTCTCTCTCTCTCTCTCTCTCTCTCTCTCTCTCACACACACACACACACACAAACACACATGGATGAAAAATATAGCTGTAGATCAAGTAATTGGAGCATTTTAGTTTTGCTTAAAACATTTGAAAACTAACATCTGATGTTTAATTAGTAACATTGCCTGGTGAAGTAATGTATTAGAACCAATGAATTAATCATGAAATCACTGTTTAATGTTACATGCTACCGGAAAGGTAAACCATGGAGGCAGCTTTATCATCTCCAGCTCTACAGTTTAGGGTCATGGACAGAGAGGCCCAACTGGGAGATCACCATGCCTGATTCTTCCCCTAGATTCTGCTCCATGAGTGACACAGCTGGGGACCATTGGGCACCTCCACAATCCATCTACTAGACCGTCTTCCAGAACACTGTGGAAAGCTTCCTTCCCGCCAGTTTTCCTCACCGACCTTTGTCCCAAGCTCTTTCTGACTTGAACTTGGGAGCCTGAGAAGCACGTGCTGTGATAATTTTGGACTGCCCACTACTCCTAGACCATCGTTGTGAGGTCTTCCCACATTCTGTTCCCCAGGCTGGAACCTCTCTGAAATGACTCTGCATGGTGGCTGAAATCAACTCCATTTTGCTGGATGTCCCCACAAGCTGATACTCAGGCTGGAAGGGGAAATGGCTTTCAACAGGAGGGGGTCTTTGACTCTCAAGGCCTGTCTCTAACTGGGCATCAGTTTTATCATCTGCCACTCTGACCCTTCCTGGCCTTTTGTGTCCATGGTTGTCCCCTTGTCGCTCCACTGACTCCTCTCCTACCACAACAGTGATGGAGTTGGTAATCCTAGCTTGGTCATTTCCACCTAGAGTTCATCTAACCACAGGCAGAAGGCAGAAGCGGTAATCCCTTGGTCCATCCCAACTGTTCCTCTCATGACTGTGAGGAAAATGTGTCTGGAAGATTTTTACCAAGTAGCCAATCTAAAGTATAGGCACAGAACACCCTATGTCAGCTTCAGAGTGTAACTGTCCAGACCAGCTCAGACACAGAAATGAGCGACTGGGAGGGGCCTGAGTGTCAGGGCTAAGGCACTGGGACATGAAGAGTTACCATCAGAATAGACACCAGTTTTCTTCTACAGCTGCAGAGCTGGGGAAGGGTACAGCCCCTTGGGGGTACCAAGGGACCATCTCCTTTGCATGACAAGTGGTTGCCAACCCAGGAGTAATTGAGCTTCAAAGAGGGCGTCCTGGGCGTGAGGTGTTCCCTTGGTACTGGAATGGCTGGAGTGCAGTGCCTGTAAGTGCCATTCCAGGGTCCAACCATAGCACTGATGTCTCAGGTAGGAGCCATTAAGGAACATCACACTTAATATAATTAAGAGCAAGGTTTCAAAGGAAACAAACAGTTAGCAGATAAGATGCAAGACTGTGCTTTGCAATCCACACTTAAGCATGCCACAAAGTTGTTGCCCTTTTATCCTTTGCTTTATATTTTCCATTATCATGTAATTTAATAAAGCTCCAATCTCTTTTCATGTTAAAAGCAAGCCCATTACTGCTCCGCTCACGTGTCTTATTTCAGCCCAATATTCAGCCCCATGGCTAAGCTAGGAATGTGGCCACATCAAAGAACAGTGCGAGAGATGAAAAATTTAGCTGGAATAATTAAATTTGATTATGTAACATGTCTGCAGCGCAGCCTCATTTTCACTGTATGGATTTCCTGGTGTAGGCGTGGGGTCCCCCATCACCTCTCATAAGCCTCACAATAACAACAAGTGAGACAGTGCCAGGCTGCAGATGACAGCGACTCTGAAGAGCATAGTAAGGACACACGCGCTAGGTCTTTATGAGTCTACATAATGGATAATAAAGTCTTAGGAGCTGTGCGTTTCCTTTTGTGAGGATGAGGTAACAAGCATAGGGTGTACAAATCATCTTAGTTGCTTAATCTCTAGCTATTGATAGCAGCATTTTGCTATTTGGAGAAAACAGCAATTAGAGGTGCCATTCAAGCACACACTCGTGTCTCTGTACATTGAAAATGGAACAGAAGTGAATCTTTTACAGCAGGACTCATGAGAGCACGGATTCATATGTTCTATGAGTGTGTTGGCAGTTTTACGAACGTCACTAGCTTTTCTGCCCCGGGTTATGCCAGGGGAACATCTACCTGACCTCCTCTAGGGCATGGCGCTGACCCTGCCACAAACTGAGACAATAAAAGGCTAAAGACATGAAGGTCTTCCACAGACTCATAAACTTACCGATGTTTCTCAGAAATGTCACCTGGCATTGAAGATTGTGAGGTAGCATTGGTCTACCAACCCCTTCGCTGCCACTTTCCCCTTCCACTAACGTCATCATCCTTCCTTAGTCTCCCGTGGAGCACCTGCTCAGTTAAACTGTCCCCTAACTCCTCAGGACCAGCCTGTCTCCCTGGAGACACAGGGACAAGATACAGTGCAGACCCAAGAGCACAGAAGGATGCAGCCGTGTGATTCATGCGCTCTTTTGATGTGCTGGCATGGAGACAAGTCACCACACATCCCAAAGAAGCCTGTCTTCAGCCCTAGGGACTGGGGACATGGGGTGGGTGAGGTGCTTTCTGTTCAAGCACGAGGACCTGAGTTCAAATCCCCTGCACCCACTCAAAAAGCTAGGTATGACTGTACTCGTCTGTAACCCCATTGCTCGGGGTGGGGGGAGGGGAGTGTAGAGACAGGCAGTTGCTCTGAGCCCACTGTCCAGGCAGTGACCACCAGGTTGAGTGAAAAACTCTGTTTCGAAACCCAACATGGAGAGCAGTTGATAAAGATACCCAGTGTTGACCCCTGGACTACATATACACACACACAGGGGGCAGGGGAGAGAGGGAGAGAGAGAGAGAGAGAGAGAGAGAGACACGGAGGGAGGGAGGGAGGTGCTTTTTAGTTCTCTCACCAGCAGCTTCAACAGTAGCATCAATGTTTTGTAAGATATACCAGTATCTTTGGAAATAAAAGTCCCAGCTGATTCATGCATCAAAGCCACAATACAAACAGAAAACCTGTACCCTGACGTCTCCTGGTAGCAGAGCACGAGGACTGGGAGTAGTGATTCTGAGCTCAGGTGTCCAACCTTCTAGCTTGTTTTCCTAATTGCATTGTTGTTTTCTACTGAGTGGAATAGTGAGTGCCTTTGCAACATAACTGCACTTAATTACCAAATGACATCTTATTTATGGGCTTAATAAACAGATTTTAAACAACTCCTCATTGTAGCTTTAAAAAAAAAGCAATGGCTTCCAAAACACACAGGAGAATTACTGTTTGCTGTAAAACCTGGTCCTATTCTTCTTCAGGCCCAAAGACCAGGATTAGCTTTTTGTGCTAGGGAAATCTG